TTAGCTTAACTGATTCCACTATGTCGAGCGTTGCTGGAGGAGACGCTATACAGAAGAACTACAGACAGCGTTTGAAGAGAACAGAAATGACAGACGAAAATCGTTAACACGCCATCATGCTTAATACCGACTTCCTAGTCATTCATAAAGATATACCGGTTCTTTCGGCTAACGCTTACTACAGTGAGTCATTATTCAGCATATTCCGACAGTCTTCTAATCCTCAGTACCAAGCATTGTTAGTAATCACACTCGCAGTGAGATCACTTTCACAAACTTTTAGAAATCTCGTACTTGATACGTGAGGTCTATCGAGCTTCGACTTATCAATGCATTGAGTTGCCTCGGATCATGTTCAGCACGCAACTCTTCCTCGTGTGGCGTTGCGTCGCTATATCTCCTCATTTCTCATTTTTATGCCGTGTAGCACCTATTCTTTCTCACAAACATTTACCTACGACATGCCTACATTTTTGCTCCTAAGCCGTGCAGGATATAAACCCCATAAATTCGGTATGAGCTGAGAAGGAAGTACTCTGATAAGTGACATGAGATATACTATTGCGTACTAATACCCGCCCTATGAGATTAAAGAAAAGACATATTCCGACATGACGATGCTTAATCATAGAATACCAATGTTCTGATCTCAATGGATTGTCTGAACGGTGTTCCTTCCGGGGTGGTAGGATCAGCAAAGGCTGTATGGGGCGTGTATAGAGCTACGCTTCCGTCTTGAACAGACTCATTACTAGGAACCGAATATATCAATAAGAGCTCGGAAAGAATGGGAAAAGTAAAGCACAAACCATTTAATGAGAACAAACTCATCGGGTCGCATATCCTTAAAGTAACCCCACCTCTGACGTTCGTTGTATTTAACACCGTATGTCTCTCCCCTTTCTGTCAGGGTAAATCAAATCGATAGGCTCGACGTCCTTCTCTGGGTCGACGCTAGAGAAATGGCATAGCGCCAGAGGCCCAGTCGGTCGCTGGGGTTCTCAATCGGTCTCCAGAGATTGATGATCTGGAAACGCTTGGCCAACAGCCCAGGAGCGTCTTCCGGGGGAAGGTGACGATGGACACGAGCAATGGTCGCCTTGAATGTTTGGTCGACATGGGCGATAGCCGCCGGCTGACGTTTATCTGGATTATCCCCAGATTCACCTGGGCGGCGACGGCGTATAGCTGTGGATTTATAATGTAAGTACAATTTCGAACTTGGACCCAGGCGGAAAGCTTACTATGGTCAAATATAACTACTTTACTAGCTCCGGTGAGCTCCTTCAAAAGCGTGATGCTCTCATCATAGTATCCTTCAACCTGCACCTCCCCGTCTTTGATAAATTGCGTGGGACGATTGGAGAAGAGTTGGAATCCAGCAGTGTCGAGAGTAATGGATTCTGAGTTCAGCTTTGTCCGATAATTTTCGACGGTCACGGTTTTTGGCTCCAGGGTGTAGTTCCGATTGTTTCTCGTGTCAGGGCCGGCATTGTTTTTGATATATGCCCGTTCGCCGTTAGGGGGGGATTGCATGAAGAAGAGGTCGGCAACGACACCAGAAGACATGATGAACTAGTGTTCTGGCATGAAAGAGCAGGGTTTATGTATGCTTTTGCGTATGTATTAATATCACACAGGTTGACGAGGTACGAGTACGCAATGGCATCGAAGAGTTGCGTGCTGAACATGATCCGAGGCAACTCAATGCATTGATGAGTCGAAGCTCGATAGACCTCACGTATCAAGTACGAGATTTCTAAAAGTTTGTGAAAGTGATCTCACTGCGAGTGTGATTACCAACAATGGTTGGTACTGAGGATTAGAAGACTATCGGAATATGCTGAATAATAACTCACTGTAGTAAGCGTTAGCCGAAAGAATCGGTATATCTTTATGAATGACTAGGAAGCCGGTATTAGGCATGATGGCGTGTTAACGATTTTCGTCTGTCATTTCTCTGTTTTCTTCAAACGCTGTCTGTAGTTCTTCTGTATAGCGTCTCCTCCGGCAAACGCTCGACATAGTGGAATCAGTTAAGCTAAGACGCTCAGTGATTTCTTTACCGAGTGGTAAGCGACTGTTTCAAACCGGACGAAATCCTGGGAAAATGGGTGGACAACAGACCAAATTCTGATCAAGGCTTTCGGTCATAGCAAAATGAGTCGAGATTCCCTTTGATAGTAAAACCGACACATTTTGCTGTGGTCAAAAGCCTGGGTCGAAATGTTATCTGTATTCCAATTGTTTCCCGACCCTTGCATTTTGACCGGCACTGCTCAGTCACCTGCCAGGAGTGCGATACCCTTACCCCCTTTGCCGGATTTTAGCCTTCCCCTTGGGGCTCAAGCGCGAAGCGCTCAGGTCTGAGGCCTAGGTTCTTGCTCCGCGGCGAAAAAGAAAAAGAGAGAGATCGGACCACGTAATCATGCACGACAAAAGTTAACCGGACCGACCGACCGACCAACCGACCAACCGACGGCCAATTTCTTTGCCTCACATCATTCACCAAGTTTTCGCGGAGTCCAAGGTCCTGGTCGTAGCAAGTGCAATGATTTTCCTAGTGAGAAGTCTGAAATAGAGCTCACTTTTAATTATTCTAGTGCTTGAAGCTCTTCACCGAGCTGATACATATGCATAGAATACTGGTACAAGTTCAGGGACAGCACGACGTCGGCAAATACGTTGTCGTTACCTTCATGCCACATGGTGTTACTCCACACGCCCTATATTTAAAAGAGAAAAGCTAAGAATACACCACAGTTCTCTTCACTCAATACCAACCGCGACTGACATCGAATCTCCCGGGCATACATTCCTTTCAAGAGGACTGCGACTGCCACGATGATGAAAATCTCCAGTCGTGGCCTTCTTTTGTGCATTTTTTCGATTTGCACATTCGCCTCGACTCTAGCTCAAGACTCCCAAACGTTTGCGTGGTTGGATGTATGTAAATACTTATTTCTTTTCTTCAGACAGTTTACATGAGCGCTTTCCCCAGCTTCCAGCGAGCGACAGTTTGGAATGGGTGGACTGTTACACTGGTTTTCAGTGCACAAATCTAAAGGTGAAGCACATCTTGGATGATGGTCACATTCATTGCTTCTCACTTCATGTCAAATGACACGCAGGTTCCTCTCAATTACTCCAGTCCGGACAATGAGACGATTGTTCTCGCTATCATTCAATACCCTTCGCCCCTTCCCGTGAATTCTACCGACTACAAAGGTCCACTCTTATTCAACCCCGGCGGACCTGGTGGAAGTGGCGTTGATTACGTGCTAGAGGCAGGTGCCCAATATTCGCAGATGTTTCAGGATCAGTATGACATTGTCGGCTTTGATCCCCGTGGTACGCGTCATTTTCCCACCAATTTCTCCGCCAATTGACGATTGAATTGGAACTCCAGGTGTCGCGCGCTCTACACGTGTATCTTTCTACGAAACAGGTGCCGAGCGCGCTTTGTGGGATTATAACATCTTGGTTGAGCTTCTGGGTCGCCCGGATGGTATTGAAAACGCTTGGGCGCAGGCTATCATTACTGGCCAGTTGGCTGGTGAACGAGATAATAACGGGTTATTGGCACATATCAATACCGATCAGACTGCCCGTGATATGCTAAAAATCACTGAAGCGTACGGACACGAAAAGCTGCAATACTGGGGTTTCTCGTACGTTTCATCAGGTTCTCTGAATAACCGCAATGATTGATCCCTTTGAACTGCGCAGTTACGGCACTATATTGGGCGCGACCTTCGCTGCTATGTTTCCTGTAAGCGGAAGATTCTACATCTGATGTCTTGTCTGACTCGGAGAAAAATATTCAATAGGACAAGATTGAACGAATGGTTCTGGATGGCGTCGTTGACACAGAAAACTATTATGCCAGTCAGTCATTTGAATAGAAAGAAGTAACTCGTCAACTGACTATGTTTAGCGTTATGGTCTGACAACTTGACGGATTCTAACAAGACTTTGCAGGCGTTCTTCGACGGATGCTATCAAGCTGGTCCCGACGGGTGCCCTTTCTACGATTCGAGTCCTGATGCAATAAAGCAGAACCTCGACAATCTCTATGATACCATTCGTGCTAGACCGCTTCCGGTTCGTTTGCCTACAGCCTATGGCGTAGTCGACTACGCACGGCTACGTTACGCGGTCTTCTCCTCTCTATACATACCACAGAGTATATACTGGACTCTGGCAAAAGGACTGTCAGAGTTGGCCCAAGGAAATGGAGAGGGCATCCTCAACTTGACCGCCCATACCCCATTCGAATGCTCCTGTGACGATCCTTCCGCATTGCTCACAAGCTCTGTACAAGACTCCATGATCGCCGTTATATGCAACGACGGCTTACCCGTGCCTAGGGACGTGGAATCCGCAGAAGCGTATTATGCAAATCTTTCTGCTCAGTTTGAATGGGCGAGTATCTGGACTGGTGTTAGAATCGGATGCGCGTACGTTCTCATATGTCTACTGCCTTCTTTTCGCTGACCGCACTATTCCACCAGAGGATGGCCAGATTATCCGAAAACTAATTTCCGAGGTGATGACTTACCGGCGCATTCGCAAAACAGATGCTTACAATTCTACAACTGGCAGGTCCATTCACGGGTAATACAAGCTATCCCATCTTATTCGTCGGTAACACAGCGGGTGAGTGTCATAGCAAACGTCCCATCGGGATACCTTACCAATAGTAATAACAGATCCCGTCGCGCCTCTCGCAGCGTAAGCAATAAATAGCCCAGATAATCTATCCAACTCACCTATCCATTCCTAGTGCCAAAAAGGTGGCTTCCGGTTTCGACGGCTCTGTCGTCCTAACCCAGGATTCACCAGGGGTGCGTGGTATAATATATTCATCGGTGTCCTGCTCCTAATGCCTCAGTAACGTAGCACTGCTCGATCTCTGCCAACTCGCCCTGCACACAGGGCTACATCAGAGACTACTTCATCAACGGGACGCTCCCGGAATTAGACACCGTATGCCCCATCGTCGGTACCTTGTTTGACAACACAACTACCTCTGGTTGGTTGAAACGAGACCTTTCCGGGTTGGATTCGGAAGAGCAGTTTTTGGAGGCGGTCAGGCGAATTAGCTATTCGGCCAAGATACCAACGACACCTTTGTCTCTCGTCCCAAATTCTGGTTGCGCTTCCGCGGGACACTAAATGGACATCCACAGACATTTTGTTACACCAACAAATATCTTTGCAGACTGTCGAAGTGACTGGACACTCTTTACTATCAGGACATTACATCATTTGAATTCCAATTGCGTTCCATCCGTTTCGAATGCATATATAAAATAGCAGATAGAAAATATGTACACAGAATGACAGAGGTATAGTAGTGTGGTACATGTCGAGGTCGGTTCCTTCCTTTTCATCCATCCATAATACACAGAACAATTACAGCTCGTCCTCAGCACGGCCCGAGCCGCCAAAGTTAGCTTCCAGCCAGTTCTTCAAGGCAGCATTAAATGGTCCCGGATTTTCCATGTGTATCCAGTGCGAACCTTCCACCATCTATATAGAAATCCGTTAGTTTAGTCGCAATCAACCGCAAATCATGACATCACTCACTGCGGTCGTTAGACGTGGTAAGAAGCTTTCGGATTGGAGCAGTTCCGCGGCTTTGACCCAGTCGGCTACAGGATCCTGGGGAGGCAGGCGATCAGACAGTGGGCCAAACAGCTTCTAAACAGGTGGCATACATGTGTGGGGTAAATGGCCAAGACAGGCTGCGGCAGCGTGTGATTGCCCTGCTCGTTGGCAAACTTCCACGTTCCATGTCGGTTCTGCGAAACGTTAATCATTGAAGAAAGGTATTGAAGATGGCGGATATATCACTTACCCCCGTGGTGTAGAACTGGAGAGCTGTAGAACATTTATTTGATGACGATCAACTTGGACGAAATTCTTACTGTTTTTGAAGCCCTGGTGGCTAAATTCCTCAACGAGATAGTCCTCCTCCTCAGGCGATAGAAACGGAATAGGCGGGATCTATTGTATTGTAAATTTAAGTCCGGCTTCAGAAGCATGGTACGTCTCGCCTCCTCATAATCGCTCCACGCCCCTAGGAACGTTTCTGAACTCTTCAAAAACTCATCAGGGGGCGGGCTCGACTTGGCACGGAGTGTCGCCCGAAGAGATCTGCGAATATCCTTGTCCAGTTCCTTGACAGCATCAGGCGTTTGTAAACCGAAGAAGAGCTGATACGTCAGTTTAGGAAACACGGTCGTGAGATCTTTGATAGGAACGAAGGGCCCAGCGGAAGGAATATACTACGAAGATATTAGTGTCAGAACGAAGCAGAGAATACAGGCGCGACTGACTGGAACGACGGCCCCAATAACTCCTTGGAAAATATCTGGGCGGAGTCTTCCCGCTTCGTAGCAGAGTACGGAGCCCCAATCATGCCTATGGCTGATCAGTTATCCGATAGTGCGGTCGAGGCTATAGAGGCTTTACCCTAAGCAGATAGCGGTATCCACTTTGGCGTGCTCTAGTATACATGCAAGGTCACCGACGTGGTCGAACATCGTTCCAGAGGTTTGCAC